TGAAAATTATTGGAGAAGGTGTAAAGAACAAAGCAGAAACTGATTCCACAGCATAGCTTCTCATACCCACCCACATTTTGGATGCTTCAGCTTTGGTCAGTCATCTTTCTTCCATCTGTCCATCCCATACCTCCAGCCACCTTCCCCCAGGACAGACCTGGAAAAGATTCAAAGAAAGAAGATCAAACAGGGAATAGTTTCCATCTGTGGAGCAGTTACCATAAACTGGACCTGCCAGCTGGGAGAAAGGTGCCTGAGGGAAGATAAAATAGTCAGTAAAAGGATACATGCTGGGATAATTGCTCCCTCTTTCTTTCAGCACAAGAAGAGAACTCAGATGAAGGTAGCAGGAGGCAGGTTCACAGCTAATATTTTGGTATTTTCAGCACCTGAACTTGTATTGAAGAGCCAGACCTCTTAGCCACAGCAGGAGTTACATATTCCAGCCATGCATTCCCACCCACCTGCCCCTTCCCCAGTGGATCTGGCCTTTCTGCTAGCTCAACTCTAAACTTTCCATTCAACTGAAATCTATCCCAGTTTATATTTGTCCTTGCTATTCTAGCCCAACAGTAGAAAAGGCAGACAGAAATCAGTTTCTTTGCCTGCCTACAGAAGGGCTCATTTAATCTGAATGCCCTCCCTTCTCCCCTGTTCAGCTGCACTGTGTCCCATTTTCCTGCCTTTGAAGTCCAGCCTTTCCAGTCTTTGAAGAGCTCTGCATAAATGAATCCTGTTCCTGCAGTGATCTGTTATCAGCACTGTCTAAAAGCCAGAAGAATGAAGCAGATCTGCCAAAAACCTGAGGAGAGGTGGAATAAGTGAGAAGGGAATCAGTATCTGTGTAGCTCTGGGCTGCACTGCCCAGACCACAGCTGTGGGGAGCAGCTGCAGCAAGCAAAGCCCAGCTGCTTGGTTCCAGCACCCTGGAGCAGCACTGTCCAGCTGCAACAGTGATCCATCAGCTGGCAGACTGAGACTGCAGGGGCACTCCATCACCTGGAAAAAAGGGGTATGAGATGGGGGGAACGCCTCAACAATAAACCACAGAAATCCAAAGCAACAGTGCTGCTCCTCTGGGCTGTGCTCAGCAAGACTTGATTCCTCCCCAAGAGTTTTCTATAACCCCTGGGGGGATCAAGGCCTTTCTGTATCAGATGCTGCATTCTCACATCTGAAAGAGTTTCTGACCCAAGTGACTTAGGAAGAGCTCCTGAAGAAACAACACATCCTGTTTCTAAACCAGTCAGCAGGATAACAAGCCTGTCTTGCTAGTTACAATTTTATATCCGCATATTAACTATATTGTGAATTTTTTTGTACATTGTATAGATAAAGTAAAAGATTCATCATCCTTTTTTTCCTAATTTTAATAGTAAGAAAAGCTTCTTCCTGTGAGTACACAAACCCAATAGTGAAAGAAAACACCCAGGTGCAGGTATGCTTCAAACAAATGTTAATTATCAAAATTACCAAGTAGTTGTCAAAATGTTAGTTGTCATCTCATTGCAGGGGTTCTATATTGTTGTCTCCTTATCACAAAAGTCCCAGACCCTCTTGGTGTTCCTGGTAGACAGCCCCTCACAGCACTTGCTCTCTCTTCTTCACACAGCAACCACCCAACTCCAGTTCCCTTCTCACCCAGCCACCCCACTCTTTTACAGCGCTCTTCTTCTCATTGCTTACAGCTGTGGCCTGTTAAAGTCAGGCCTGTTACTAATCTTTGATAATTGGCCCAGCTGCAACTCCTTAGGGGTAAGATTACTTTCTGCACTATCCTAATTTTTCTTATATTCTATCCCCCTACAAATGTTAATTCTCAAAACAGCATCTCCCACCTTGGCACCTGACACACTGAAGTTGTAGCTGAAAAATGCTGAAAAACACATGCTCTTTTTTTTCTTTAAACCAATTTTGTCAAGGCACTGCCTTTTATGTAAGACTTGGTGCTATGTGACGAGGCAGAGCTAATTAGGCAGGTAGGTTTTATCAAAGAAGAGAAGGCTCTTAAATCTGCAGCAGAGGGAAGAACCTGACCTACTTTGTGTATACCCTGGTGCTTTTATTTCAGGTGTTTTCACAGTCTTCCTAAATTCCCCATATAGCCAATGTAGAAAGGCTTTGGGTATTTTCATAGAGCCTAATTTAATTGCTTTAACTCAGGTTTCAGTATCTCCCTGTCAAAGAAAAATCATTCCTCACAGCCTTTTAGACAGGAGATGGAAATGAATACCTTCAAACTCACTACATTCCCAGTCTTGAAATCTGTACTCAGAAACACTTTATTGTGAAGAAATGGGAAACGATGGCTTCTGCATCTCTCATTCTCTTCAGCTCCAGACTGGCTCCCTTTCTGGGAGATAAGCTTGAATGAAAACATGTTATCTGCAGGATTCAGGGTAGAGATAACAAGGTGCAGGGTAATGGATTGACCAAATGCACTGCTGCAATGTGATTCTGCTTCTGCTGTCAGGAGAAACGTGGGCAGGAAGAGGTGCCCATTCCAAGGCTGGGGCTGGAGCTCAGCTCCAGGAATTTACCACAGCTGTTTCCAGCTCCTGGCAGGGCAAGCCCTGGCACTCCCCTCTCCTTCCCTTTGTACCCTCATTTCTATGTGGAAAAAGTGGATGTGCAGGGCAGGAAAAGGCCAGGAAACATTCCTGCCACATCCTAGTGAGGCCTAAGAACTGCTGACTACATTGCAGCACAGACCTGCATAGCCCAGGATGTACTCTGGCCCCACTATTGCATTTTGATCCAGAAAAGGATTTAATTCAAAAAGGTCACTTCTTCATGGATACTTCAAAACCTGGAAGGCACTACTGGAATTCAACCCTGTTATCTGTTTGTAATGATCTGAAGACACCTGGATTTAGTGGTGTTTTATTATTGTTATTATTATTATGGATTACTTACCAGGTTTCAATAAAAATACTTCAGATGATGAATAGCTCACGAATTCCTAACATCACTTTAAAGGTTTGCTTTTCTGAATTTGCATTGTGGAAGTGCTCCCTTGGGCTTGTGTTTTTTTGTTGCTGATTTTCTTCTCCAGTTTACAAGACACCACATCTACAAGCTGCTTTCTGAATAATCACATCTACCTTTGAGGTGTGGACACTTCTGCAGAACACATGGGCCACTTCCACTGCTTTCTCTTTCTACAAACAGAAATTCACCAGCAAATTAATGTACGGTTTCCCATATGGAGCTAAAAGGGAAATTTGGGGGATTTAGCGGAACAAATGGAAATATTTTTTTCTTCATTCACCCTAATTAAAATTAATATCACTTTGGCTCCAACTAACCCCAGTGACTGTAAGGAAATGAGTAGCTCAAAGCAGCAGCTCGCAGAGCTGAGATGCTGCTGCACATATGGCCCGTGTGATCACGGACTGTTCCTGACAAGAGCCCAGATGGGTCACAGCAAGCAGACACAGCCACGCTTTAGCCCCACTTGTTGCTGTTACTAACT